CGCAGCCCTGGCCGCCCTGCTGCCGCCCGAGGTGGGCGCCCCGCGGGGCCTGCCCCTGCGAGGCCACGGACCCCCTTGGGCAGCCGCGGCCGTGCTGGTGGAGTTCGGCAGCGTGTGGGGTTCTGGAGTGGCCATGGCGCCCCGCCTCGTGGTGACCTGCCGGCATGTGGCTCCTCGGGAGGCGGCCAAGGTCCTGGTGCATTCCGACAACCCCAAGTAAGGCCCCAGGTGGGCTTTCCCACACTGCTCCTCCCTGGGTCTCGGGTGTGGATCGGGCCTTCTATTATGCAGATGCTTTGAGCGCAGTGTGGGACCCTCCCTCATCCTTCACACACGGAACGAGCTCCAAGCCCTTCTGGAAATGGGAGCCTTGTGGCTCCCACATGCAAGACTGGGAGTCTGAGCGCCCTCTCATTCTGAGTTCCTGCTGGGCAGCTTCTCCGCCTCCTAGCCCTGCACCTCACACCCTACTAAGCCCTTTAACCAGAAACTCTCTAGCCTGCCCTCTTCAACCCTAAAAGAGGAGGTGGAGTCCCTGGAGTCCGGGGTGCTGCCCTCCTGGGCTAATCTTACTCAGTTTATCTCTCAGAGCTTAGGCGGGCCGCCTTCCTGGGTGGAAATTACTGCCGTGGGCTCTGCCTAATTAGAGCGAAGGGCAGATGTGGGTATTCTGAACGATGTTTGGGTGACCCTGGTGTGCAGCCAGCTGGGACTTCGGGCAGCCACTTGTTCCCTCTTCAGGGAAAAGCACCTTTGCCCTCCTTTTGTCCTAAGAGTTTTTTCTGAGGCCGCAGGGGTTTGATCAGACCCAAGCTAAGCGGAAGAGCACGTGGTATTCCCAGGCCTTTGCAAATCCCTCTTAGCCCAGCCCGGCTTTGCCACAACGGCCCCCACCGGTGGCTGGTATTATAGCCATGATTTTTATTTAATTTAAATTAAATTTAAATTTAAATTTAATTTAATTTATTTTGTCTTTGAGACAGGGTCTTGCTATGCAGTTCAGGCTGGCCTTCAGCTCACTTTGTAGCCCAGGCTTGTCTCAAACTCTCAATGATCCTCCTGCCTCAGCCTCCTGCCTGCTGGGATTACAGGCATGTGCCGGCAGCCATGATTTTATAGGGAAGATTGATGAGGATTTCCCTGTAATGTAGGCCCAGCTCCTCTCGCCCTCCCCACCACTTTTGTGCCCAGGAAACCACCAGGTCTGCCGGAAGATCCCTCTGCAGAGTGTCGCAGTATGTTCTTGTGTGATCTTGGGCAAGTCACAGTTTGTCTAAGCTGCTTCCCTGTGAGTTCATATGTAACATCTTGGACCAGAGCCCAGCACACAGGGCAGGTGCTAGCATGTGTGTGAACAGGGCATCATGGCTGCCCTGGCTCCCAGCACTTGCTCTGTGACCTTGGGATGGTTACTCAACCTTTCTGGCCCCCGTTGCACCATCAAAACTGGAGTTAGGCCGGGGATATAGCTCAATGGCACAAGCACCTGCCTGGCGAGCTCAAGGTCCTGAGTTCAATTCCTGGTACAAAAAAAAAAAAAAAAAGATAAACTGGAGATAACATCAATGCCTAGTTAGAGGCTTATGAAGATGAAATGAGATGAGGTCGGCAAGGTGTCCACTCTAGGCCTGGCCCACAGTGCTCACCAGATGTCAGGTGTGCGTTTTCATGGTGCGCTACAGGAAGCTTTGCCAGGAAATACTCCGCAGTTTAGAAAGCATCTTGGTTAAGTGACTCGTCCAGAGCTGCCTGGCTGGTAGGTCGTAGAGCTGACACTCAGGTCTTTAGACTCAAGTCCATGACTTTTACTGTCACTCCCCTTGCTTCCTTGGTGGTGCTGAAGGTGCAGAATGCTAGCCTGTCATTTGTTTCCTTTGCTCCCAGGAGTGTGGCGATTTGGGGACGTGTGGTGTTTGCCACCCAGGAGACATCTCCCTACGACATAGCAGTGGTAAGCTTGGAGGAAGACCTGGATGGTGTCCCCACACCCAAGCCCGCTGAGCACTTCTTTGAAGGTAAAGGACAAAGGGCATAGCCTGAACGAGGAACCCTCTGGCCTGGGCTGGACCCTGGGAAGGACAGTCAGTGTAGGATACTCACCATGCCAGTGCAGGTGCCCGCTCCTGTCCCCACCCCTCCTGGGGTAGGGAGTCAGGGTGACACAGCTGGGGCTCTTGCTGGAGGCCTCCCTGTTGCAGCAGCACAGCCCAGGGGATGGGGCAGGTGGGGTGCTGGGCCTTGGCGGGCTCCGGACACTTGAGCTGCTCAGAGGAGCTCATGGCACCTTGGAGGCATCATTTAGTACAAGGCTTTGAGATGCTGCCGTGTAGGCACCGGATGGCCCATTTCATGGAGTCAGTGTGATGTGGTGATGAGGCCCAGGGCTCTGGACTGGCATCTGTGCCAGCTGGTGACCTAGGACAGACTACTTAGCTGTTCTCTGCCTTGGTTTCACGTCTGTGAGGGGCTGGTGTGCCTTCCTCCTGGGCGTGCTGGGGACCAGGAGAGGTGGGTCTATGTGGCGCTTAGCCCCGTGCCTTGCTCTGCTCCCGCAGGGCAGCTGGGGAGGGGAGCAGGTGGCTGCTTGGTGGCCAGCATCAGTGTTTCTTTTCAGCAAGATTCTTCCTGGTCCTGGGAGGAGCTGATTTATTGAGCACAGACATTTATTGAGCACCTAGCTAGGTGATAGGAACCCCAAAAAGTGCCTGCCTCGTCTAGTGCCTCTGAAGATACAGTCAAGGGATGCAGCACTGGGAGCTCAGTGCGGTCCTGGCCTCTTCCTGCAGTGGGGCCCTGGGGCGCTCCCTGGAGGCCGCAGTATCTGAGCAGAACTCAAAGGGCAAAGAAGGTTTGGACTTTAAGAGAGGACAGGGTAGGGCGGGGAATGAGGTCCCGCTTCAGCCTCCTCCCTTCCCTGGCAGGTGCAGCTGTCAGTGTGGTCGGCTTCGGTGTCTTCGGCCAGGCCTGTGGGCCCTCGGTGACCTCAGGCATCCTGTCGGCTGTGGTGCAGGTGGACAACACTCCGGTAATGCTGCAGACCACGTGTGCCGTGCATGGCGGCTCCAGTGGGGGACCCCTCTTCTCCACCCACTCGGGGGACCTCCTGGGTAAGCAGCCCCTTGGCCCTCTCCGGCCTTCCCCCGGTCAGAGCCTTGTCCCACTCGGTGATGCCCTGTGTCCAGCTCAGTGGGGCCCTCGGCTGGGGAGATGGTGGCTTCAGGCCCAGAGTTAGTGACCAGATTTTTCAGGCTGCTCTGCCTCAGCGGGGAGAGGGAGGGAGCTGAGCTGGGAGGGAAGAGATCGAGGCCCTGGGCCCTTCTCTGCCTTTCATCGGCTGTGCCACCTTAGGTCAGTCACTTAATCTCACTTGATGTGTGAAATTCAAGAGTTGGATCAGTCCAAGGGTCACAAGCTCAGCAGTATACGGAGGCCAGGGAGGTAAAATGTGAAGACGAGAGGAAGCGGAGGTGAAGGGTCAGGGGTCAACCAGAGTGAAACCTGTTCTGCTGCAGCAGGTTTAGAAGAGGCTGAGAACTTTTAAATTTCTTTCAATCTTATGCTCAGGTGTGGTGGTATATGCTTGTATATGCCCCACCGCAGGAAGCATCGTGAGAGGCTGAGGCAGGAGGATTACAAATTTGAGCCTGGCCCAGACAGTTTAATGACTTAGCGAGAACCTGTCTCCAAACAGAAAAGAAAAGGCTGAGAATACGGCTTAGTGCAAAGGCCCTGGGTTCAGTCTTTAGTATTGCAAAATAAAAGAGGAAAATCATAAAACAAACCCAAAAAATTGATTTTTAAAAATATGCAACTCAAGCCAGATGTGGTGGTGCACACACCTGTAATCCCAGCAGAGGAAGGAAGATCACCACAGGTTCAATGCCAGCCTGGGCTACAAAGGCAATTCATGGACAGCCTGAACTATATAGTGAGACCCTGTCCCCCCACCCCCCCAAAAAAGCCAACCATATAGCTCAGTGGCACAGCGCCTGCCTGGCAAGTACAAGGTCCTGAGTTTGATTCCTGGTACCAAAAAAACCTCCAAAAACAGCAAAATTGTAACTCAATTTTTTTTGTTGTTTATTATTATTTTTTTTAAGTCAAGGTCTCACTATGTAGTATAAGCTGGCCTTCACCTTGCTTATATAGCCGAGGCTGGCCTCAAGCTCATGGCGATCCTCCTGTCTCAGCCTCTCAAGTGCTACAGTTACAAGTGTGCATCACCATGCCTGGCTAAGATTCTTTTTAACAGAGTCATTTGGATTTATTTTCAAAAGTAAAGCATGAGTCCATCTAGAAACCTCCAAGATTCTATATGTAGCATCATTTTGTTTATACTGACCATTGTTATTCCTGCCTTTCCTTATTTCTTTTTCTCTTATAACAAGAAACATAGCTCTTCCTGTCTCTAATATATGTAGGTATTTGTCGAACCATACATACCACTATAGTATATATGTATAGTATTCCTAGTATATGAAGAAGTAGTGTACGAATTGCCAGCCCACATCCCTGTGAGCTGTAGAGGTAGCCAGGGGAACACAGGGCTTGAGTGTGCATGCAGTGGTTCTTGTCTTTAGGTGTCAAGTGTCCAAGTGAACCCCACTGCCCGAGGTGCTCAGGTTAGGTTACTTATTTGTAATATAGGTAGAGTCCCGTGTTGAAACCTTTCCCCAGGTCTGTGTTCCCCACTGCCTGGCTGACTTTTAAAACCATGTCTCCGGCCTCGTGCACACTGTTGTGTGTGCATCAGTTAGGAGTCACAGTCCCTGTCTCCAAGCTCTGCCCACCGACAGGGGCCAGGGCAGTGACATCTGGAGCACACCTAGAACTCGGCTCTTGGGGTTTTTTTTCTTAATGGTAACTCTGATTGTGTTTATTAGTACATGTTTTTAGTATATAATATTTACATTCCTTGTGTGGAGTTGGTGTGTATACAACATACCTAATCCCTCTTTTTCATCCCCTCTCCCTTCCCTCCCTCCTTCCTACATTTCTTGGTCTCTTCCTGTTTGAGAAAGATCGATCTTTCTACTTCCCATGATCTTTTTTTTGACACAGAGTCTTGCTGTGTAGCCCAGGCTGGCTTCAGTCTCTCTGTGCTCCTCCTGGCTCATCTCCCGAGTGCTGGGATTGCAGGCACGCGCCGCCATACCTGGCCTTATCTATCTTTTACTTTGCTCTTTATTTATACTTTGGGTTTCTCATATAAGAGAGACCATGAGGTTTAAAGCTTGTGTGTCTGATTTATTTCACTTAACATTATGGCCTCAAGATGTGTCCATTTTCCTACAAAGGACTCAAGTTTATCTTTATGGCAGAGCAGTGCTCCACTGTATGTAAATACCATTTTTTCTTTATCCATTTGTTTGTTGATGGAACATATAGGCTGCTTACAAGGTTTAGTTATTATGAATTGTGCTGCAGTAAACATGGGTATGCATTGCCCAGAGCTTGGTTTCTAAATACCTCTGTAACAGAAGGAACCAAGAACTGATCGATTCCAGAACCAGGACATGTAACATCCAAGAGAAGCCAGATGTATCATGTCCTGGAGAAGAAGTGCTAACAGTGAATGATGGGGACTTAAGTTTGGACAAGACCAGCAGCCGACCCCTGGGAGGCCCCAGCAGAACAGGTCAAAGTACAAAACCGATAGCGACAATTAGCAATAAATGCTAATCCAAAGAAAAGCAGGAATATCCAGGAGTCTGGCTGATATAAATGACTGAATAAGTTTAGAAGTAGAGAAAAACTACAGCTCTTTACAGAAACCTAATCAGTAAATGCAGACGTGAGGGAAATAGAAAGTCTCCATTAAGACCCTACAGTAAACCCGGCATGGCAGTGCGCTCCTGTAAATAAGCCCACTCTGGGAGGCCAAGGCAGGAGGATCACAAATTTAAGCCCACCTTGGGCAACTTAGTGAGACCCTGTCACAAAAATAAAAAAGGTGGGCCAGGGATATAGCTCAGTGGCACAGTGCTTGCCTGGCAAGTGCAAGGTCCTGAGTTCGATCTCTGGTACCCAAAACAATAAATAAATAAAAAAGGGGGCTGGGAATGTAGCTGATTAAAAAGCCCTGGTTCAGTCTCCAGTACTGCAAAAGGGGGCACATTGCAGTAGCACTTGCTACAAGCAGGATCTAAATGGATGGATACTAAATTTAGTGTGCAACATTTTAGTAGAACAATATTTGTATAACCTCAGAATTTCTCCCTTAAAGGCCAGGTGTGGTGGCAGATACTTGTAATCCCAACACTGGGGAGGCTGAAACAAGAGTATTGCCAAGAGTTCAAGGCCAGCCTGTACTACATAGCGGGACCTTGTCTCAAAAACAAGGAAAGAAAGAAAACAAGAACTACATATAAGGGTTAGAGACCAACTCAGTGGTAGAGTGCTCACCTACCTTGCACAAGGTCTTAGATTCAGGGTGCCCAGGCTGGTAAAAAGACAAATACTATGTATAGACGTCAGATACCTTCTGATATGATGCATGGGGCAGGAGTCATTCTTCTATGGGATTCTTCCCAATAATGCAGAGCTCAGTCCAGGCAGGCGCTGTGCCACCGAGCTACATCCCCAGCCCAGAACTCAGTCCATTCATGAGAAAACATGAGATAATTCCACACTGAGGACCGGCCAACAAAAATAGCTGACCTGTGCTCTTCAGAGTATAAAGGGCACAAAAACAGGAAAGGCTAGGAATCAACTCAGGTCACAGGAGATTTAGGAAGACATGACGATTAATACAATACTGGATCCTGGAAGAGAACAAAGACAATAGTCAGGAAAAACCAGTGAAATACAAATGATTTTTACACTTTGGTCAGTATTAATGTTCCAAAGTTAATTTCTTGATTTTGATAAGTGTTTTATGACATAAGATGCCTACATGGGGAACGTTGGCCGAAAGGAACACAAGAAATCTCCTTTTGAGGCAAAGCTTCTGTAGGTGTAACATTAAAAAGGTAGAGATGGAGACGTGCCAGATGTGGAGTGCATTCCTATAATCCCAATACTCTGGGAGGGTGAGGCAGGAGGATTATAAATTCAAGCCTAGCCTGGGCAATTTAGACCCTGTCTCAAAAAATAAAAAAAAGGCTGGGGATATATCTCAGTGTGAAGGCCCTGGGTTTAATGTCCAGTACTAAAGGCAAAAAAAAAAAAAGCCAAACACGAGACATCATAGGTCTGACCCAGTCAGCCGTTCATTACACAAGTGTTTCCTGGGTCTACTCTGGCAGGCACTGTTCTCAGTGCCGGAGAAACTGCATGGGTAAAAGAAATTGACCAAATAGGGAAATCCAGAGTGTGTGAGATGCAAATGGTATTAAGGAGAGGAAAGCCAAGAGGGGAAGGGATGGAGGAGCAGGTGCCTATGACAGGAGGCTCAGTGTCAGTCACTGGGTGGAGTTGCCAGCCCCCAGCAGGCCCCACCTGAACTGGAGATGGTCCTGCAGAGTGGAGATGGCCCTCCCTGTAACATCTGTCTGTGCCCTGGCTCACGTCCTCCTCTGCCTTCTGATCCCCCGACAGGCATTGTCGCCAGCAACACCCGGGACAATAACACGGGGGCCACCTATCCGCACCTGAACTTCAGCATTCCCATCACAGTGCTCCAGCCGGCCCTGCAGCGGTACTGTCAGACCGGCGACCTGGGTGGCCTCCGAGAGCTGGACCGTGCCCCCGAGCCCGTCAGGGTGGTGTGGCGGCTGCAGCGGCCCTTTCCTACAGTCCCAAGGAGCAAGCTCTGAGGCTGTGTCACTCTCTGGGGACAAGAGGGACCATAGGAAATGATGAGGTGGTGGCTGCCTTAGGATCCAGGGTCCATCCCTGACTGGTTGCATCCCAGCTGGGCCTCCTCGTCTCCCCCTGTTGACCACAGTGTGGATCTGGGCCCTGGGACAGACTTCTCTCCAGCCCGTGGGACCTGAGCCTGGAAACCCACTCTGGGTGCTTCCTTGAGCCAGTACTTCTCTCTGCCCCCAGGAGTAGACTTAGCCTTGACTCAGCCAGGTAACTTTCCTCCTGAGGACCTGAGTCCAGTGGCACAAGAACACTGGTCCTGGTAGGCAGATGCTGCTTTGTTCTCCTGACGACCACTGGCTGTGTCTGCCTGTGTCACGTGGGCCGGCAGCCCTGGGGTTTGCTCAGGCTACCTCAGCACCAGGCCCTGCTCTGCTGCACCCCCAGGCAGGCTGGTCCCCAAGACCTGGGAGGCCTGGCCTTCGCTCTGACACAGTGCCTTCATTTGCCAGCCCCAGGCCTGAGTCTCGGGGATAGCGAGGGTAGAACATGTGGTTGCGGCTTAGAAATAAACGTGAGCTACCACACAACACCTATGCTTTGCTAGGTTGGATTTTTTTTTTCATGAGTTCAGTACGGAAAGAAAATGTACCATTCCTGGGTGGAGTTTTGTCCCCTGGGATGCTCTCCTGCCAGGCTGGCCCTGGGAGTTATGTACCAACCAGCACCTGGGAGTGCTGTTTCTAACATCTAATTGTTGAATGCCTGCTCTGGGCAGCAGCGGAGTGCCCTTGTGATGCAGAGGGCCAGGTCTGTGAGACAAGGCCTGCATGGTAGCAGGGGGCTGGATTCAAGGTCTGGGAGTGTGTGTGGGGGTGTTATTCCAGCATGTGTGATACCAAGGTGCTCACAGGATGTGCTGGCGATTCTGGCATGTCCATGTATTAGTGTGATGAGCTGAGCAGCTTTTTCCATGGAGGAATGTGTCCAAAGACCCAGAGAGGGCCAGCAGCGGCAGGAGGTGGGACAGGGAAGCACGGAACTACTTGCTTGTTCCAGGAGGGCTAAGGGAGGAAATTGGAAAATATCTCACCAAGAAGGGAGGGTTGGTTTTTAGAAAATATCTCACCAAGAAGGGAGGGTTGGTTTTTGTGCAGTAGTGATGGAGGCATCCAGGTGCCTTCCCTCTTGTGCCATAGGTCTGGGGCCGTGGAGACCTCTACTGGGTCCTCTGCACCTGACTGGTGAGTGGGGAAGAGAGACGAAAAGGCAGGTGTGGTAGCATGTGCCTGTAATCCCAGAACTCAGGAGGCTGACACAGAAGGATCATCACAAGTTGGAGACCATATAGTGAGTTCAAAGGCAGCCTGACAGGCCGCCTGCACTCGGGAAGCTGCGCAGTGGGGACCTCCGGCCTTTGGGCCAGATCCCAGCTGCGCAGGCACCTGGGAGGTGGGCAGCTGGCACATGGTTGAGAGCTATCATGACCAAGAGAAGCAATGACACAATTGGCCTGCCATGCGCTGGCCACGGAGACCCACCCGGGGATGTGCATGAATCCTCCTGACATGGAGAAACCCCTGGGAATACATGCCACACAACGGGTCTCTCTTGCCTCTGCTGTTGAGAACCAGAAAGGTCCAGAGTTCAGCGGAGGAGCAGCTGCTGAACAAGGATTCAGAGAACACGAGAATACAGACTGTGCCTGAACACTCAGAGGTGTAGTTGACCAGGTTCACAAGAGCCATTTGGAAGCTAGAAACCAGGAGGACCTTGCATAATACCTGGGGAGACCCCCTGGAAGCCATTGTTCCCCTGACAGTACAGGCTGCAGTGGAGGAGCACGTGGAACTCT